GGATCATGGCGATGTTTCAGTTAGAGTTTGAAAATCAGGTAGCCATGAGTGAACTCTTTTCCTCATTTCCGCTCTCCTGATGTCTTTTTCTCGTTCTGATCTCATCATGGGTATGTACTTCCTCCAGTAGATCATTGCTAACTTCTTCAATCGCCTGCAAATGGCACAAAAATACTCATCACACAAGAACTGTGTAAGAGAAATGTAAACTAAATTTAAGCTAGAATACAGCGGCAAAATGTGGCCCCAGTTGTTCACGATACAACTAAATCACTTTTAGTGGAAAGAACAGTTGGTTTCCTTAGACTTATTAAGTCCACTGGATAGAGATTTATCTAATGGTCAACAAAATGCGCCAAGCTAAACATTATCACAACTAAACTACTATCCAAGTAAACAATGCAGCGGGGAAAAAAATGCAACCAGCGCCAAGTACTGGAAAACGTGCATCAGCTAAGTCAAGCAAGTTGCCCGAGTTTTCTAAACCAATCAGAGTTCAGCAAACACTTAACTATCACAAACATGACATTACTTTCGATAGCAAAATTCAACCACTGGAGGACTTTGATAATATCTACCATTCATTGTGTTCCTCAGCTATTCTTTCTTTCTCCCATAACATGATCTGTTGTTCGGTAACATAATCCTGCCAGTATCTGAAGTACTTTTTCACCAGGTAAGACGAACAGTAGTCTTCCGCTACCATCTGAAGTCTGACAGCATGCTGGCCATACTAAATAACATAGAAAAACAGTACAAAATAACAGCTTGACTAGACAATCAAGAATAACAGTAGCAATGACGGAACAGTTTAATTACACCAAAACACATACAGTGGAACCCCGTTAATACGGTCACCTGCGGGCCAATAATATTTGGCCGTATTTACGGGGTGGCCTTATGAACGGTAGGGTCAAATTTCGTGTTTGGTCCAAATTGAGTAACGTCTTAACAGAAGCTAACAGATATATCAGTATTGCACTTTTAAACAACTGTTCTCTAATACGCATCCGGAATGCAGATATACTTTTTTTTTT